TGTGCTGAAACCCAATAAGGATCAACCTCCTAGCATTTACTTCCTGATAGGGGCTTTCATGAAACCCAGTAAAGATCAATCTCCTAGGTTTTACTTTCTGATGTCAAAATGACCTATTTTGATAACAATTTTTCCTGGAAAATGTTAAATTCTTTGAGAATGAGGAGTGTGTCTTACTTAGCCACAGTGCCTAGAACAGTGAATGGCACCTGAGAAGGACCAAAATTACCAATGGTAGAAGAAGCCAGGCACTGTGGCATGCACCTGCCATCCCAATTACTGGAGGCTGACGCAGGAGGATTGCTTGAGCCCACGTGTTCCAGGCTGTAGTACTGATTGCCCCTGTGAATAGCTACTGCATTCTAGCCTGGGCAACATAGTGAGACTCCATCTCAGGAAACAAAGACAAAAACAAAAAACCAAGGTAAAGAGCTAAGAGAATGGATACATAATATCCCACAAATGAGAAGACAAACTGGAATACCAGTAAATACAACTGAATACTTGCAATGTGTAATTATCCACGAAGGCCATTAAAAGAGAATATATTATACAATAAAGTTAATTTTACCCCAGTAAATTGACTAAAAATTGCGTTAGCCTAAGGTATCAATGTCAGTATTGGTTTCTGTTACAGAAAATCATCGTGTAAACACTAGAACAATGAATTCTTTATTAAAACAATCTGAAGGCAATACTCAGAAAATATACCATTATCATGACTTTATGGAAAGATTCAAAGCTGTCCTGTGTGCTGCTATTGTATAATGTTTTATAATTCTCTCTGCCTTGTGAATAGTAAGCAACAGATCTTAGCTCTCAGATGGTGATTGTAGAGTAACCAACAAGTTAATGGGTAATGAGAAAAGTGGAGAACTTTGCACGGAAAGACATGTACACTGATATTCCAAGCAAAGAAATTATTTTTGCTGTTTTAAACTTGCGGTTTTTATTCATTTACTCAACAGATTAAGCTATTTCTAACTCTAAGGTTGGTACCAAAAAGGACCAGTATTTATCATTAGAAGAATTACCATTCATTACACAATGGAATATAAGCCTAATGCATAATGGACTTTCACAGTGTCATTGGGTAGAATCCAACGAGACGGCTAATTCACACAATTCTGTTTCACTTACTCTGGCGCTCTTCTCTCTTATGCCAGATTCATTTGTTGTCATAAGGCCAGTTATAGCAGCACAGTGGGGGGCGGGGTGGAGGTAGGGACAGAAGCATTATCAGAAACTTCCATGGAAGCACAGTTTTTAAAACTACCCACCAAGAATCCACATGTAGCCTCATTCCAGCCCCTACTCTTGCTCAGACCATAGCAGTAATGACAGAATGGGAGATATCACTCATTGATAAGAGTAGATTATTCTGTAAGGTGACGGGGTCAGTAAAAGCAGTAAATAAGAGTGTGCTTAGAACAAAGATGGAATTCACAATGTATGTCGACCTGAATTTAAAAAAAGAAATAGAATTATGGAGGGAAATCAGACTTTTATAACCCCTAGGAAAAAACAGTATCCAGCACAACTGTGAGTGCACAGTGCATACCACAAGAGATGTGCGCTACATGTGGTATAACATGAGAGTATAATGGGCCTGAAGAAGAAAGAAGTGGAGAGATACAGCATTTCATATTACTTTTATTGATTCAGAGGGTACATGTGTAGGTCTGTTACATGGATATATTGTGTGATGGTGAGGTTTGGGCTTCTAGCATACCTGTAACCATAATAGTGAAGATTGTACTCAATAGGCAGGTTTTCAATCTTCATCCTCTTCTCACTCACCCCACTTCTGGAGTCCCCAGTGTCTATTATTTCCCTATGTATGTCCATGTGTAATCATTGTTTGGCTCCCACTTACAAGTGAGAATACAGCATTTAATATTATTGGAGGGGGAAAAGGTCCCATACTACACATCTGTTTCAAATAATAAATACATTTGTGGTTTTTCAAAGAATAAACTCTAATTTCCAAGGCAGACTTCCTAGTCCACAGCTATACCATGAGATGGAAATTTAGATGCTACAGTGATTTGGGTGATTTGCACAGGCATTCTGTATAAATTCAGCAAAAATGAATGTATTTATCAATAATTACAGATAAACTCACCAAGAGTACAGCCAAAGCCCTTTGGAGTATGACATAATTTTGCAATAAAATCGGGTGGTGTACCTAAGGGACAGACTGTAACATACACACTCTTTGAATCCCAGTGACCTCTTCCCAGGGGTTAAATCACAGTAGTCATATCAAATCCAAGAAATATCATCTTCAAATATATTTCAAAAGTCTCAAATGATTAAACCCCATGACCTTGTAATAAATGTAAAATAAATACACAAGGATATCAGTTCTAGGTCTGCCTGTCTGCCTCACTCCTTCCCTTCCTTCCACAGTCATTTTTCAATAATCAACTAAGTTACTGATAAACAGAGGCTAGGTTCTTGGGATACAAAGGTAAGACATGGCCCCTGCCCTCAAGGAGTTCACACTAAGAGGAGAACTACACAGAAACAAATAATTATTTTACAATACACCAAATAGGTTAACAGAAGTATGAAGTATGTATTAGGACACTGGGGACAAAGAGGAGAAAGTGCTTGTGATTTTGTTCCTCACATGACACATTATCATTAAAATGGGAGATGAGAATTATGTACTTGGTCATTCAACAAGTACTGACTATGCCCCTCTCGTGGGTAAGCACAGTGAAATCACAGTGAGATGGGGGCACGCGACCTTCCCTCATCCCCCTCAAGTACTCAAAGGCCTCCTGCTGCTGACAATGCAGCAGCCTGATAATTAAGAATTTTTTAAGGAATAAATAACTTTATATTTTTAACCTAAAAGTGAGTTGGACAAGTTTGTGAATAAATATATTAGTTAATAAGGATAAAACATAGTAAATATCTAATCATTCTAATTACTTTTGAGGGAGTCCAAATATTCTGACTCAATTTCCTGTTATATCTTCCCTCATGCTTAGTTTTTCTACTCTTACCCCCCATCCTATCATGAACTCTAGAGAAATAATACTTTTACATTTAAGATCATACGGAAAGGCAGTGAGGTTAGAGAGTGTAACTTCTAGACCCAGATTGCCTGGGTTCAAGTCTGTGTTCTGCTATGTTCTAGCTGTGTGGCTCTGGGGAAGTCGGTTAACTCTTCTATGTTTCAGTTACTCATCTGTAAATGGAGTCATCAATTAATGCATATAAAACACTTAGATCAATGCTTGGCACATGGTCAGGACTCCCTATAAGCTAGTTAATATTCCTACCATATACATAAAAATAAAAAATCAATAAGCAAATGATAAGAAAGAGTTAATGCAAATAAATTTCATAGCAGAGCTATCTTTTAAACTTCATCAAGAGCATGACTGTATCAAATTCCTAACTATATCAAGTAAGCATTTGACCAATATGAGATTGAAAAGTAACGACTATAGCAGTTTGGATTTCATCTATGCTTAAGAAAGAAAGTGTTACTTTGCTGTGGATAAGATACTTTCAAGATGTTATCTTATTGTTATCTTCGTGGCTAAATTAGTGTTCAGATTAAAGGTGAGAAGGATACAGCGGTTGTTATAACATCGTTCACAAATATCTCACAGAAAATTGTTTACACAATATTAGCATCTACATGGTAGTGGAGGTATTTGATATTGAAGACAAAATTTCTTTCAAGTTTCTTTTATTATTTTTTTGAGACAAAGTCTTGCTCTGTTGCCCAGGCTGGAGTACAGTGTTTTGATCTCTGCTCACTGCAACCTCTGCCTCCTGGGTTTAAGTGATTCTCCTACCTCAGCCTCCTGAGTAACTGGGACTACGGGTGCACACCACCACACCTGGCTAATTTTTGTATTTTTTGTAGAGTCAAGATTTTGCCATGTTGGCCAGATTGGTTTCAAACTCCTGACCTCAAGTGATCCACCTGCCTTGGCCTTTCCAAGTGCTGGGATTACAGGTGTGAACCACTGCGCCCGGTCTAGTTTCTTTAAAAACTTTCCATAACCTGCAAAACCTTCTCTATACATGTGGCTGTTGAAAACACTGAACCTAATATTTTCCTGTTAGACTAGTCTTCTGTTTCCTCTTGTGAAAACAGGAATGCCCGTAACTATCTAAAGGACAAAGAACAGTAGTAGGTTTAACAATTTTAACCCTAAAGCCAAAGTGGGAGTAGCTGTAATATTTTATGAATGAAAAACAGGAAGAATTCAATTAGGGCAACAATGTTTTAGACTCCTTTCTAAGTCACCTCCTGGAATTTTTAATCAGTTACCTGAGAGTTACTTATTAACTCAAAAACTGCTTAGTCACTGACTGAAAAATGAGGCAGGGAGCAGACCAAAGTCAAGAGTTCAGGGTCAAACTGCAGAGAGCAAAGCACAATGAGTGGACTGGTTTCATCTTTCTCCTCAGTCTTCCATTGCCAGGAAAATGAAGGGACTGGACAGTGTTGGTGGTTCGTAATGTGAACACAATACCAGCTGTATTAGGTGAAGAGACACAAGTCACAGGTTAAAAAGGGCACTTTGTCTCCCTTACTTGATATGTGGATCAAAGCCATGTACCCATATATGTACTGTCCTTGGCATCTTTTCTGTTTTCTCTTTCACAAGATGCCCATACACACAATATATTCTATACCAATGCTCTTCTGGGAGTTCTTTCAGCTTCAAGATTACCAGAAATAAGAGCACTAGTGAGCATATCTATTTGTTAGTTTTAAGTAATATTTAACTGGCTGGGTGCAGTGGCTGATTCCTGTAATCCTACTTTGGGAGGCTGAGGTGGGTGGACCACCTGAGGTCAGGAGTTTGAGACCAGCTGGCTAACATGGTGAAACCCTGTCTCTACTAAAAACACAAACAATAGCTGGGTGTGGTGGTGCACACCTGTAGTCCCAGCTACTCGGGAGGCCAAGGCAGGAGAACTGCTTGAACCTAGGAGGTGGAGGTTGCAGTGAGTCGAGATCCTGCCACTGCACTCCAGCCTGGGTGACAGAGCAAGACTCTGTCTCAAAAATAATAATATTTAACTAAGAGAGGTTAATATTTTAGTTATACATTTCTCTCTACTGCTAGAGGATTATATTTGGTTATTACAGTAGTTCCCCCTTATCCCTAGGGGATACATCCCAAACCCCCAGCAGATACCTGAAACCACATATAGTACCAAACCCTACATATACTGGTTTTTCTTATACAAACATAACTATGATAAAGTTGAATTTATAAATTATGCACAGTTAAGGGATCAAAAACAGTAATAAAATAGAACAGTTATAACAATATGCAATAATTAAAGTTATGTTGTGAATGTGGTCTTTCTCTTAAAACATCTTAAGTACTGTATTCATCCTTCTTGTGATGAAGAAGGGACAAAGTAGAAGAGCATGAGATTGCATCATGCTACTCAGAATGGTGTGCAATTTAAAACTTACGAGTTGCTTACTTCCGGAATATTCCATTAAATATTTTTGAACTACAGTTGATTGAGAGTAACTGGGACCAATGGAAAGCAAAACTGCAGATAAGGGGAGACTACTGTGATACTGACCTATTGAATTCGGACTATACAGTTCGGATATGAGCCAGTCTTTTAACATTTTTCTAGTTTATGACTTTGGGTCCCTTCATGATTCTTAATCACTTTCATTCAATTATAAAATACTTATTTTATTAGCTGGGTATGGTGGTGCATGCCTGTAGTCCCAGCTACTTGGGAGGCTGACAGAGGAGGGCTGCCTGAGTACAGGAATTCGAGGCTGCATTGAGCTGTGATTGCACCATTGTACTCTAGCCTGGGTGACAGAGCGAGACTCTGTCTCCAGTTTACAATTTGTATATATATTGTCTCTAATTTACTCTGTATGTGTGAATGTGTGTGTGTGTGCATATTAAGCCCATAACAAATATTTTTGTGCTCTATAAGACAGCTGAGAAAAATATATTTAAGAGTCTAAGGGCAAGCTAGTCTATCTGGATACTTGTTATAAAAAAGGTAAGGTGTATTATGAATATGTTGCAATTAATGGACAAATAGTTGCTAGTATCTCTCTGGATTTCAAGGGCCCTTGCTAACCTAACCCCTTAATTTCTCCATTATGATAAAAGATCACATATTATTATATTATGATCTTTTAATATATTAACGTTACTGAAGATCATCACAGTAAATGCCTACAAAATAGAGACAAGCATTGCTTAGTGGTGATGGAACAACATTTTGATTTTATTTGTTTTGAATAAACAGTAGGCAAAGGGATATTTTGGTTGTCTAGAAAAAACATGCATTCTCACTTCCTTTCTATTAACCAGTTGGCTTTTGCCTCTCAAACTTCAGCTACAAAAGGGAATCACTCATGAGTTTAATTGTATTGCCAGGTGACAGACAAGAGGGTTCATATGATGAGAAGAGAGGTGGAAAAGGAAAAAAAAAAAAAGAGGAGCAAGTTCAGATAGGCACGGTGCAGACGCTAGCACCTGGGTACTGACCTTTGAATTTCTTGCAAGGCAATATAATTTGCTCTTCATACATAAAACGCTACACTAAAAGAATAAAAGCCTTTTCCCCTCTATGTTCCTGTAAAACTTTATTTATGGATATTGAAATTTGCATATCACATACTTTTCATGTGTCACAAAATATTTTTCTACTTTTGATGTTTTTCAACGATTGAAACATGTGAAAGCCATTCTTAGCTCATGGGCCGCACAAAAACAGGCAGCAAGGGATTGGCCCTTAGACCAACGCTGGCTGACTGCTGGATGGCAGTATTAGAGCTTGGGTATGAGTCCCACCCCAGGGCTTCCAGGAGAGGGGGCCCAGGCTGATGCCATCTCCACCCCCATTGCTCTAGGCAGGAAGGCAGAGTTGGTGCAGGATGAGGTGCGGCGGCAGATCCTGGCCAGCCCTTCACCAAGGCCGTGGAAGACAAAACCACCCCTGAGTCCCGGGTGCTTGAGGGGCAGCTGATGAAATCAGTGAAGTGGCAGGATGGAGTGGGAGATCAGGGAAGAGGCCTCGAGGGGATGGAGGATGACTGGACAAGGCTTTGGTAGAACTGCGACCCTCTTCACCCTCTCCTGACTCCCCTCTGCTCACCACCATCTTCAGACCTCTACAGAACTTGACCTACTGGCGGTGGAGGAATTCCAATGAATCCAGGGTGGCCCTGGGTAACCCAGGGCTCAGAGCTCGACTCGGTTGAGGGCAGGAGGCTGGAAGAGATGACCTCTGCTAGTCCCCGCCGATGGTCCAGGCCCCTGAAGCCTGTGATGATCCTTCCACTAGGCCAGACCCACTGACTGCCAGAGTGGGTGCCAACTTCTTCAGGGCTGTGCCAGTTCAAGCCCTTGGGTAGGAATGTGTGCACCGGTGTCTGGACACCCTGTGGGAGGCAGAGGGCCTCTGGTAAAGATGGTCATTCCAGACCTCAGTCAGTATCTCCTTCCCTCTGCAGACCCCCTCCCTCTGCCTGTGTCCTCTGTCTATCTGCCTCCTCCCTTGGGCTCACTGCCTCTACATGACGATCTGAAGCCTGCCTCCTCAGCCTGCCTTGCATCCTCATGGGAGCCCTCCCATGATAAATTTTTAATTTATCTTTAAAAATACATTATTTGAAACCAGATTTGTTAAAGTCCATAATCAGTTGAAAAGAAAAGAAAATTCAGATTTGTGTGGGTTTTGTATTTGGTAAAAAGATAATTAAGTAGCTTCTGACAGTGAAATTAGAGTTTTAACTTAGCTGGCATATCATTTATAAAAGAGCCTAACAGGTCTGACACAAAACAGGATTGCCATAGAATTTAAAGCCTTTCCTTTGACTCTACTATATTTATTTTCTAATAGACAAGTATAGAATGGTAAAGATAATAATAAATTAAAAAGATAATAATAACCAATATTTAATTGAATACTTCCCATTTTTATTGATTTAGCTACATCACCTAATTTATTTCTTGCTGCTGCTCTCTGAGGTAAGTACTATTATTATTCCCACCATAAAGATGAGGTAATTCAGGCACAAGAGTTTAACCTGCTTGCTTGAACAGCTAGTAAGCGGCAGAGCTAGAATTCAAACCCAGGTAGTCTGATTCCACATGCATTTGCTGTACTGAAAGTACTTAACCCAGTCTGGGCACAAAGTGAGTGCTTTCTATGATAATCATTGCTTTTATTATTACTGGATTTAAGAAAAATATATTGAATGCCTACCCAATGGAGAACTGAGGAATGAACAAAATACACAAGGTCAGTATTCTCATGGAGCATAGAGGTCAGGGGAGGAGACAGATACTATTCAAAGAATTATACCTTGATAGTAGGAATAGATCACTTGAAGGAGAAGAAATTTTCTGAATGGTCTCATTTTAGACCACCAGGTCCTTAAGACTTGTTACTGGATGATCAGAGTATACGCCGCTTCCATTACTTCTATTATCTACTCATCTTAAACTCTGCTGCTTGGTTAAAGTTTTGGAAACTTTACTGTATCAAGTCACTGCCCTGTTCAAAAACCTTTGACGGCCTGAGCGACAGAGCGAGACTCAGTCTCAAAAAAAAAAAAAAAAAAAAACCTTTGATGGCTTCCAGTTTTCTAGAGCCTAAGTAGCCACTGTGTGTCATACATACCAAGAAACTCTCATCCCACATTTATAGCAAACATCAGTAACCCATCATGGTGATTTTTTTTCTATTTGGTTGTGGTTTTATCAATAAATCAAAAATTGGCACTTGAATTGAAACACTTTTGCCATCCTTGACCTGGTTTGCTGTATAGAAACATTGGTTTTGGACTTAGACAAACTTGGGTTCAAATTTCAGCTCTCTGCCACTCATTGGTGGTGTGATCCTGGCCAAGTCATTTCACTCTCTTAACAAATAAAATGGAGATAATAGAAACTATTCAATAGAGTTTTTAGGTAATGCAGGTAAACAATTTAGCATAGTGCCTGGTATATATTGCTTAGTAAATTAAAGTTATTATCTTTATCACCATTGTCATAATGTTCATTATTGCCATGAGAAAGCTTTCCAAAGTCTACACAATCTGGCTCTGATTTACATTTCCAAATTTATCTCCATACTCTACCAAAGGAAGCCTCCACTTTAACTAGAGGAACTCAATGTCTCCTAAAACTAGCCTGCCATTTTCTTTTTCTGTGTATAAAAATCTGCCCTATTCTTCAAATGCCATTTCAGTAAATTCATGATATTTATTTCATGAAATTTCCCTGGCACCCTTCAGCCACAGTCACACTGCTCTCCATTAAACTCTCATACTTACTGTTTCTAACACTTCATCATACACTATCTGGCAACATTCTCTTATGCTGGTGTTTAATTTTATATTACAATTTAATTTTACATGTGTTTTTGTCTTTTCCATCTAAACTCTCAATTCTTCTTTTGTTTCTTTTTTTTTTGAGACAAAGTTTCATTCTGTCACCCAGGTTGCAGTGCAGTGATGTGATCATGGTTCACTGCAACCTCGAATCTCCCAGTCTCAAGAGATCCTCCCACCTCAGCCTCCTGACTAGCTGAGACTTTAAGCACCTGCCTCCATGCTCAGCTAACTTTTTTTTTTTTTTTTTTTTTTTGTCTTTTGTAGAGACATGTCCCTCTGTTGCCCAGACTGGTCTTGAACTCCTGGGCTCAAGTGATCTTCTTGCCTTGGTCTCTGAAAGTGTTGGAATTACAGGTGTGAGCTATCGCACCCAGCCAAATAGGGATAATCACTTTTTATTTTTTGAGACAGAATCTCACTCTGTCACTCAGCTGGAGTAGAGTGGCATGATCATAGCTCATGGCAACTGTGACCTCCCAGGCTCAAGCAATCTTCCTGCCTCAGCCTCTGGAGTAGCTGAGACCACAGGTACATGCCACCACCCCTGGCTAATTTTTGTATTTCTTTAGAGACTGGGCTCACTAGTCTCAAACTCTAGAGAGTTTGGCAGTACCACTCTCAAACTCCTGGGCTCAAGTGATTCTCTCACCTCAGCCTCCCAAAGTGTTGGGATTACAGGTGTGAGCCACTGTGCTGGGCAGAAACGTGTATCTTCAAAACAGCACCTGGTGAAATGACTGCACATTCTTATCAATGAATGAATGAAATTTAGATAAAATAACATGTAGTAGTTAACTTAAAATTAAACCATAAAGAGACAAAATTAATTTTTAATTCCTCATGTTACGTTAAAGAACTCAATATTATTAAAAAAAAAATCTGGCTTTTTACTTTGAGTTTGAAAATCAGAGGCCCAGCACAGTGGCTCATGCCTGTAATCCCAGCACTTTGGGAGGCCAAGGTGGGCAGATCACGAGGTCAGTAGTTTGAGACCAACCTGACCAATACGGTGAAACCCCATCTCTCTAAAAATACAAAAATTAGCTGGGCATGGTGGTGTGCACCTGCAGTCCCAGCTACTCAGGAGGCTGAGGCAGAAGAATTGCTTGAACCTGGGAAGTAGAGGTTGCAGTAAGCTGAGATTGAGCCAGTGCACTCCAGTCTGGGTGACAGAGCAGGACTCGGTCTCAAAAAAAAAATCAGAATTTTCTACCTTTGTCCATTAGTCCTAGTTAAATAAACATTTTTTTAAAAATTTGTGCTTATATATAAGTGTTAAAGAATACTCTATTTCTCCAAATGAGTATAAAGGATTTTTTCTTTACTTTTTAAATATGTTTTTAAAATGTGTATAATTAAAAAAAACTTTTAAAAGAGAGAGACAGGGTCATGCTGTGTTGCCCTGGCTGGTCTCAAACTCCTTGGTTGAAGCAATCCTTCTGCCTCAGCCTCCCAAAGTGCTGGGATTACCACAGTACCTGGCCCAATTTTCTTTAACATAGATAAAATCACCATTCGCGGGACTCAACTGGTTTACATTCCTCTTTGACCTATGAAATGTGATATATGTTTTCCATATCAAGTTTGAATAAAATTATCAAAGACTCCATAAGCAGGTGCAACTTAGCCCAGTTGCTCCCAACCACGAGATGGTGAGGGTCTAGGATGACATTTCACTGCTTTCTGGCAAAATGGGAAAAATGAGGGCAACAAAGCAGTGATGAAGCAAGGGTTGGCAGGAGTAGCCCAGCCCGGGGAAGGGACAGTATTTTCTCACTGACATTGTTTGGAACTGCCTGTTTATGGTGATAATGAAAAGCAGACAAACTGTTAGTGGATTCTATTACTGTTTTAAAATGATCTACAGAACATGCAATGTTGCTCTGCCTGTGCCTGAAGCTGACTGCTTCAACCATCATGCCTTTGGCATGCCATAGCAATAAAGTGAACTTTAGGTAAAGCTGAATGTATTCAGTTGAAGAGACAGTCCATTATTCTATGATAAAATGCTGTTGGTGATTAAATGTCCTTTTAAAACAAAACGATGATGATGGGAAACAAATTTTTCTAATGTCTTCATTTGTTCAGTTTTAAAAACTTTATCATTATGTCTATCCCCAAAGTGGGTTTTGTTACTGTTTAGTTTTTTTTTTTTTTTTTTTAAAAATGTTCTAGGTCTGTGAAATCCCAAATCTGACAACAGCTTGACAAAAATTAATCAAGAGAACAACTTGACTTAATGGAGAGTACACTGTGTTTTTTGGGCTTAGAACAGTGGCTCTCCAAGTGTGGTACTCTAAACCAATAGCATCAGCACTAACTGGGAACTTGTTAGAATGCAAATTCTCAGGCCCTGTCTCAGGTCTACTGAACTAGACACTCTGGAGTAGGGCCCAGCAATTGGTATTTTTAAAAAGCCCAGCCAGGCATGGTGGCTAACACCTGTAATTTCCAACAGTTTGAGAGACCACGGTGGGAGGACTGCTTGAGCCCAGGAGTTCTAGAGCAGCCTGGGCAACACAGGGGACCCTGTCTCTCCAAAAAAAAAAAAAAAAAAAAATTAGGGGGGCATGATGGTACATGCCTGTGGTCCTAGCTGCTAGGGAAGCTGAGGAGGGACCACCCGAGCCTGGGAGGTCGAGGTGGTAGTGAGCTGTGATCATGCCACTGCATTCCAGCCTGGATGACACAGTGAGACTCTGTCTCAAAAAAATTTAAAAAATAAAAAATTAACAAGCCATCCAGGGAATTGTGCTATTGTTTGAGAACCATTTCCCAGGGAATAGGTAGAGAAGATGCAAAAAGTACTGAGACAAAATGCCTGGAGATTCTTAAATGCCCCCTATAAGGTCACTTTTAGTCCAATGATTGTGTCTATTTATTTTATATGTATTTTCCATAGTTATTAATTAACCAATTTATCCAAAATAAATTAATCTAAAATAATCCTAGAGTCTTCAGCAAATGATTTTATAAGTGCCTATATAAAGTGTGATAAATCATATTAAATATAGTCCTTAAGTCATTAAGCTTGTTACTTT